GGGGGGGGGGGGGGGTTGTTTTTTAGGAATTATAGAGAAAATAGTGAGAGAGCAAAGTTATATCTTGTGAGTCTGAAGTTTTATTATTTTAGAAATGACACATTGTGTGAGTTTTTATAATAGATTATGATGAACACTAACCATAGGATGAAAGTGTATGTGACCTCATCTATGCGGTCGAAGCTTATTGTCGAAGGTGTCAATCAATTATAAGTATTGAATAATAATACCATTTTGTTGCCCATAACATGAGGCTTAGACTTGACCTGATTGGTTGAACAAGCCGGTAGCAATAGTGAGTTGTTATATCAATCACATATTAAATATCATATGGAAAATCTCCTGTCGAGTCCCTTTTGTAGCTTCTTCCCAGAGTAGGGTTCAACTCTTTTACATGAGGTCAACTTAATCAAATGAATTTAGTATCAGACATGGATTCGGCCAAACAGCCTCTTAGGTAGAGTGACATAGAATGTGGGCCCAAGTTTGCTTGTTACGCAGGATCTTTGTAGTCTTGTCACACAACTTGTAATAAAGTCTATTCGAGTTACATATTAGTTTTTTTTTTTAAAAAGGTTGAACCCTAAGCTTGAGGGCTCCCACGGTCCTGTCCCTAGAGTTTTGTAAGGGAGGTAAATCGAGGAGTGTACCCCAATAGGTCAGGGAACAAGAGCTGCCTGTACACTGCGCATACAAAAAATCCAATTTCATGTCTCAAGAATCAAATCCTCACACTGCTACTTGCACCACTGGACTATGCTCGAGGGTTACATATTAATTTTTTAATCATGCAAAAGGAGAATCTCTTTACATGCATTATTGACATGTTCCTTAGAACATAACGTTACTAAATATAACTGATGAAGAAAAACACGAGATATACTTTATTATAGTATTCTGTTTTATTGAATTTAACATCTAAAAATATTGAAATTTTTACCACTGAGACTACTTGTATTACCCTCTTCCGTTTTTCTCGAAATCTATTTTCTCTCTTATTATTATTATTATTATTATTTACTTCTATTCGTGGATCTAACTTGAATTTTTCGAAATCAAAATGAAACTTTCAAAGTGTACCAACCAACATTCATTATTATTATTATTATTATTATTATTAGTATTATTTTATTTACTTCTATTTGTGGATCTAGCTTGAATTTTTCGAAATCAAAATGAAACTTTCAAAGCGTACCAACCAACATTCATTAATTAACTACTGTCTAATTTGCTCATTACTGCATGATTGTCTAATTTAGCATATAAAAATATAGAAATCTTAACCATTAAGACTACTTGCATTGCACTCTTCCGTTTTTCTCGAAATCTATTTTCTCTCTTTTTTATTATTTACTTCTATTCGTGGATCTAACATGAATTTTTTGAAATCAAAACGAAACTTTCAAAGTGTACCAACCAACATTTACTAATTAACTACTGTCTAATTTGTTCATTACTGCACGATTGGTCTTCCTGCTTAAGGGCGATTATCCTGTGCCTCTTGAGATTACGACAGATGTGAGAATTCAATTAAATACCACTTGTGGAAATTATTGTACAAGGGAGCCCACTAAAAATTATCAAAGATAATTAGATCTACTTATTTAAATTTCTCTTTAATATGCAACGTAAAAAGAAAAAAGAAGGGATTTTTTTATTCTCTCCAAAAAAAGAGGGGAGTGCTTTTTGGTCTTAAGAACGTTGGTTTTAAGAATGAGTGATTATCCTTCTTCGACCCTTACTGTCCAACTTGAGAACAGACAACTAATACGTTCTACTTATTGAGTAGGGTTCAATTGAAACGATCGAAAATGAAATGTAAGTTAATATATGTGAAGTGGGAGAGAATGGATGTCATAATTGGGGCTTTTTTAATTTGATTCAATTGTGAAATAACACGACTTTATTAAAGATCTGATTGAGAATATAAGGTGGTGCTTTGAACTCAAGAACATAGCACGCTCCCTTCTTCGACCCTTATTGTCCAACTTGAGAACAGACAACTAATACGTTCTACTTATTGAGCAGGGTTCAATTGAAACGATCGAAAATGAAATGTAAGTTAATATATGTGAAGTGGGAGAGAATGGATGTCATAATTGGGGCTTTTTTAATTTCATTCAATTGTGAAATAACACGACTTTATTAAAGATCTGATTGAGAATATAAGGTGGTGCTTTGAACTCAAGAACATAGCACGCTCATATTATTTTCAATAATCTTAAGTTGAAATTTTATTTGATAAAAAATGAGATAAATATATTTTTATTAATATTTTATCTTGAAGGACGATTAAAAAAGTGTTCTCCTTCACACAAAAATTCAGATAATTATTATTTCTCTTGAACCCAAATTAGGGATGAGAATGACTAAAGATAACATAATCAGCTAGTCAACAAGCTGCACAGCAATATAGAATTAATAATAAAGTCGTTTAATTATTATCAGGAGTAGTCAAGATTGGGGGCATACGTTAATTACTCAAAGCTTTTTGAAACAATGCCATAATAAATTAATATTAAAATTTTATTGAAGGAAATAATTTTTTATATTTGATTTAAAAGTACAAAATTAATCATTGACAAAGTTCTACTCTCTTTTACGAATTGCTCTATATTTCTTGAAACCCATCATCGATGCGCGTGCATCCATTTCTACCTCGAAACGTCATCATCCACCAATCGTACATTGTTTTGAAACATTTCATCTTGGACTTCGTGTATCCGAATCGACTTTTTTCTTGAGCCAAATCCACTTGATTAAATACGAACTGCAAAATAAGACGAATATTGACTCTCAAATTCCTTCATATGCGATAATTAAATATTTATCCCAAATAAATGATTGACTCCAAAACTTACTTTCTTTTTAGTCCCTTAAGATTTCAAATTACGAAAAGGAGCTCAATTCTAATCCTTATTATCTAGTGATCCTTCTTATGACTAACTAGTTTCAACTAATCATCTTCTTATCTGAAAATATGTTTCTCACTATTTGCAATTTAGTCACTAAATTTGCATTTATTGCATTTAGGGTTCAGACTTGGGTTTGGACTCATAAAACCCACTATTCTCATTACGAAGACTTAAAATCATGGTTCTTAAACTTTTTCATAATTTACAGTTTAGTCCTTTAACTTATTATAAATGGTAAAATATACCTTACTTGACTTTTTACAATTAATAATTTCTAAATACTAATATGTACATCTTGATAACATTTTCTCAACTAACGGGATAGTTTTGTTAATTTGCACTTAGGTCCTTGAACTTTCTAAAAATAAACTAATATATCCAAAAACTTCTTAAATTGTCATATATGCTATGTATTGAGCACTAAAATTTTTTTGGGTTTTACAATAGAGGAACTGGTTACCAGACTGCAATCTTAATCGGGAAAGGTTGGAGAATTATTATTGGCAACAACTAATAAATTTGAAAAATAATGAAAAAAAAATGTGTTTTACTATTCTTTTAGTTCAGCACTATTTATCAAACATTCGAATTAGATTACTGACGAAAGTGCATGTAAAATTCTAAATTCCTCAATATAGAGAGAATGATGTTACTTGTACAATTTTGATTGATAACTTCACACTTGACAGTATCATATTTATCTATTTTAAGATCTGTTAAAAATTATTTTTAAATCAACGGCCTGCTCCCCTATCGAGACAAGAATAACACTCTCATCTTTCCAACCGGAGAATCTATTGGAATGTACTATATAGCAAGGGGTTAAAGTATGCAGGAGGCCGAAAAATTGATCACATCGGAAAGTTTCCTAGATAAAGGCATTGTTTGTGAAGTGGTTGTACATACAAATAACTTTTTTGGGCATTTATTTTTTAATGTGCTGCACAAAAACTTACCAGTTTGTTTGTTTTATTGTCATTGATTACGATTTAACTGGTACATGACCTGCCAACATCCCGAGTCTGAAAGCAGGAAATATCTTATTAAATTTTCTTGATTGTTAAAGATTATCAAAGAATTCAATTCATGTGCGTACAGGGAGAAAGGGCCAGCCCATAAACAAACAAAGAGTAGAAATTAAAAGTCTGATTGACAATGATTCATCTACTATTATCATATGAAGACAACTTAGAATACATAGACTTGTTTGTAAAGAACAGGAAATTTATAAAATCTGAGTCGTGTCCCAATCGAGTACTTTGCACCGAATATGTGTACTGTTTACACAATTCTCTCCTTCACTTTTACTGGTAACCCACCTTTCATCCTTAGTGTCAAAGATAACAAATGCTCAGGGCACTTACCCTTCTCCAACAACACATCAATTCCAAACCTTTCCAAAATCGAAGCAGCAATGGATTTCATCTGAATATAGGCCATATCTTTCCCTAGACACTGTCTCGGTCCAGCGTGAAAAACCGGAAACTTGAAAGGACTTTCTTGTTTGCAAATCCCATTTTCAAGCCATCTTTCTGGTTTATACTCACAACAATCTTTTCCCCATATATTTTCCATTCTTCCCATGGCATATGTGTTGTATGAAATGAACCAATCTTTCCCAATAAAAGTTCCATCAGGCAAAATATCATCTTCTTTACAAGCCTTGGTGTCAACTGGCACTGGTGGATACAACCTCATAGCCTCAGAAATTGCTGCCTGAAGATAATTCATTTCCCTCAGTTCATCAAAATTATATGTATCCCCAATTGCTTTACGATTTTTTCGACGAATGATTTCTAATTCCATTAGTATATTTTCCTCTATATCTGACCTTGATGATAACAACCAAAAGAACCAAGAAAGAGCTGATGAGGTAGTGTCCCTCCCTGCTAAAATGAAACTAATAACAATATCTCTAAGAAATTCAGGAGAATTCTCACCGTTTCCAATGAATCTTGATAATAGATCTTCGTATGTTTTCTCAGCTCTCTCTTCCATCCTGGATCTTATTATCTTATCAGCAAATTCATGTACAGTGGCAATTGAGTTTTGTAATTTTTTCTCTGAACCCAGATTTAAAAATTTCTTGATTTTATACACTCCTGGAAAAGCATACATGAATCTACCTGAACTCAGTGTTGCAGCATCCTCAAATGCCTGCATGAATTCCCCACCAGAAGTCGCATCTCCAATCAGACAACCTGGATCAACATTAAAGGCGACTTTACATATATTATCAAATGCAAACCTTTCAAGAATGTCTTGAAAATCAAGAATTCTCTCATTTTTCGCTGCATTTTCAAGAATTGGAATTAAACGTGTTTGTAATTCCATAGTGACATTTTCCAGTGCAAAATTCCTGAGAGATTTTGTGTTGAACTCATAACTGGCTGTTTTCCTCTGGATTTTCCAAAATTCACCATCTGTATTGAAAATTCCCCTCCCAAGAAAATCTTCCAGGAGGGTCCTAAAACGCAGGCCTTTTGGGTAGTTTTCGAAGTTGGTTTTCAGCATATGCTCAACAATTTGAGGACTGGCGGTGATAACTCCGTGGACTTTTCCGGGACGTAGGAACGTGGAGGTGTTGGAGTGGCAACCGGCGAGGACTCCGGTGGTCCAGTCGAGGAACCGGTGGCGGTTGCGGAGGAAATCCGGTAAAGTACCCAAAAGTGGGTAGATTCTAAAGCCATTTTTTGTGTTTTTACTGGATTTTGAGTGGATAAACAAGAAGAAAAAGTAGAGAAAAATGGAGAAAATTAAGAGGAGGAAATAAAGAGAAAAAAACTCCATTCTTGGACGCGTGTGAAAGATGAGATGATAAGATATTATGAATGTAAATACTAAATACAGTATTTATATACTAAAATTCAACTACTGACTATATAATTGTTAAATATTAAAAAAATCACAGGAAATTTGTTAGAAACCTAAGGTGGACAAGGTTTTTGCTTATTATCCAAGTAAATAGCATTCTAGAAGAGAATTTTGGTTATGTAGTGTTCAAATGTCATTGGGATATAGTTTTTGGTGGATTTTTGTAAATTTTAGAGCCCTATAATTATATAATTGAGGTCCATTAGTTAGAATTAAGACGAGATGAGAACACTACATAAGTTTGTGGTTCTTGTTTTCGGTCCCCACTAGTTACTCTTACCTCAAAAGTTACTCATTTCTAGATAAATGTCACTCGAAGTAGAGAAAAGCGCCATTTCATGGGCAAGTAATTTTTTTATTTAGTATACAATTAAAGTGAAAAAATGAGTTGGACTATCGATACTTTGGGCAAATGTTTGGATAAAATTATCCGTTATTAAAAAAAATTATAATGTGATAGAAATGATTAGTGGATAAGTGATAATAATGATTTCTTCGAAATGTGTAGTTAAAATAAAGGTTTTGCTATGAAATTGAGAGTGATAAAATAATAAGAGAAAAAAATGTTATATTCAATTCAATCGTGTATTTCTTTATAGCAAATAATCCTTATTTAGGATTTCAATAAAATTTACAATTTGAATATGTAGAATATATTCTTCTAAACTAAATAATAATTATCAAAGTATCTTGATAAGACTAAATGGTCATCAATAATGATCCCATAATTTTATAAAACTCCTCAATTGATAATTATCTGCAAAATAAATGTATCATTAAAAAATTTAGTTTGATAAAATTCAGTGAGACAAAAATATCAAAAAAAGAAAAATAAAAAAAATAAAAAAAGAAGTTAAATGGTACAATTAATTATAAAAAAATTGAACAAACAAAATTCTTTATCGTTAAAATCTTGTCTAGAAAACTCAATGAGATAAACATTGAGTGAAGGCAAAAATGTAAAGATACTCCCTCATATTTCAATTAATAAAGTACTTGTATTGTGACGTTCATATCTCATGTACCAATGCCTTAAATACATCATTTTCCAAAAACTTGTATAAAACATTTGTCGTGAATTATATTCCATGTCTTCTTGTTATAGTTCCAAAGAAATACAATCCCCGTATAAGATATTCATCTATCTTTATTTGACATTAGTCAGCATGATAATCCATTGACATACATATTTTTATGTTACTCTCTTCAAGAATCTCATATGCAAATTTATAAAATAATAATAAAGTTATGTTGAGTGAAAATGTTATGTGTGTTATGGAAATTTATTGCAAAATCCTAATGTAGGAAAAAGATTCTATTAATCATTTGACTATGAGTAATGCTATTCAACTCCACTAGAGTTACAACCTCAGTTTAAGTGGCGTTAAATGATAGTTGAAATTAAATAAGTCATTTAATTTCACATTTCATTCGACTTATTATCTAGCGCTATCTAGATTGGCGTTGTAACTCCAATGGAGTTGCATAACATTATTCTTTGAATTTGCTATAAAAGTTACCTTATTCAAAATCTTGTTAGGAAAATTTAATGGGGCAAAACTTGGTCAAGAAAAAATACCACACGTATTTACTCCTTATGGTAATCTCACTTGAATTATATGCTTCATACATATTAAAATATACAAAAATTATATAAATAGTGTTAATTGAAATATCAGATTAGTTGGTTATTACCATATTTAATAAACGAAAATCGAATTTTATGTATTGTCCGACTAACGAGATATAAACTTTTGATTGCACCCACCACAGTTATATAAGTGTTGGTGAAATTCATTATGGAAAAATGGATAGAATTGATACTTATCCGATCATGGATAAACATACCAACTTTTCGCCATTAATCTTAGGAGGTAAATTCCATATGAATTTTTTCTGCATAATTAGTGGGTTAAGTTAGTGATACTCATTTAGTTTTGCCTGGTATATCTAATCCTAATGAATTTCAGGAGTCAAAATCATGACACAAAATTGGTTAAGAACTTCAAAGAGTAACTCAAGTAGATCTAGGGAATGACCTGTTGTATTTGTGGATAAGCCAAAGTTTGTCGAGAAATGAATCTCTTTGGTAAGTTACATTGTCAACAATGTCAAATAGGTTCTTTCTTTATATACCTTACCTGGACCAATTGAAGCACAAAGGGGATGGTCTTCTTTTTCTGTATTCAATCAAGAGAAACCCTTCTAAGAAAATAAAAGGAATATACCAGCACCAAGATATTAGAAATCAAAATACCTATCCATTCTCTTACATTTGAATACCGTCTATTAAATACAACTTTATATTTTTATTTATTTCGTATAAGTATACATCTTTAAATTTTCTGACTGCGAGTTTAGAATCTTCAGGTTTATCTAGTAAGTTCAATTTTATTAGGATTGCATTATTTAATTTGACCAATTATTTCTACGTTTGTTTTCCTCGATGGATTTCCTTCGATAGCATTTCTATCATTTATTAAAGGAAGCTTATATGATTACAAAAGTGTCGTAGACAACTTTTTCTTTTTGATTTCATTTTAGTAAAAATACTTCTTGAGATATCTCAATTTTCAATCTTTTCATCTACTTGAATCTCTTTTGAGTTTTTCAATTTATTTTGTCTATATAGTCACCTAGAGTATGTACCTCTTAATGGGATCATTGTTATTATTTGCTCTATTTTCTTTTGAAGATTTTTGTGTTGAAATCGAATGTCATCAAGCTTCGACATACCATGAATTTATCAAATATAATAGATCCCTTTTATGATATCAATTTGAGAGCATTTAAGTTGATATGTTAGATATTGTTAATCTTTTTATAAGTAAATACATATAAATAAATTATCTTTCAAACTTATAGTTCGAATTGTTTTGTCCAAGGATCTTAGTTAATATAACAATACATTTTTTTTATTAGTATTTCCAACTTCTTAACTCCTTTCCTAATGATAAATAATTGATCCAATCAAATGATAGTTGACAAACCACATTATAAAATATCAGCCGTTAGGATTTAAAAATATTTTATAAGGTTTCTTTTGAACATGAATTCTCAATATTATTTAATTTCCATCCCAATGCTTTGTTTTGTGGAATGATTATAGATATATAGAACTATAAAAATCATTAGATAGGAAACGTTAGATGATAACTATAATGAAATTACCGTTCAAAAACTTTGATGTTGGTATGATGCATATAAAATAATATTTTTTAGACAAAAATGGGAAGCACTTGTTCTTAATAGCAATGGGGAAATTAATTAAGGGCATTTACACAAAAGAAATAAAATAAAATAAAATAGTGCTAATTCATTTTTTGTCATCTCAATTAACATTAACGAAACACACTATCTTGACAGTACAATCTAAAAATTATGTCCATAATTTAAAATTTGAGCAAATAATAATACAAACTCCAGTTTGCAAATATAATAACACAATCTAACCATCTAGATACATAAAAGACAAAAAGAATCTTTTTGTTCTTAATTGATATTTATTTGATTTTTTTAATATCCGAGAGGGTCTAGCTGATCATGCCAAATAATAAAATATTTAAAAAATTAAACTTCTAATTCAATAAAATTTGTATTTCAATTGTACCTAAAGCTACATTTATGGATAGTAGAACAACCAATCTTGTGGTGGTACAGAAGGAGATATGGTGACTTTTATTGTTCCCTCAAAGTAAAGATCATTTTATTGATAAATGAAGTGGGTTAACCTCTTTTTGACTTCGGCCAAAACACTTTTACTATCTGGTCGAGCTTTCTACAAAAAAAGGGATGCAATGCTTTGTTGGTCTTAGAATTGTATTTATGAAGAATTTACAATAGTAATTTGCAAACAAATAAAGGAACACAAAGATTTTCACTACAAAGGTCCGGATATTCAGTTTCAAGCATACTCACCCGTTGAGCATATAAAAGTAGATTACGCTCAGTTTCACTAAGAAATAACCAAAAAATAGTACAAATGTATGAAAAAATCACTCTTTCAACACAAAGATAAAGTAATCTATACAACTTTCTCTCACAGATTGTTTACCATAAACAATCAGTATGAAAAACCTCAAGATATTTACAAAGAAAAACACCAAGTTTACAAAGAGAAAACCATATGAGAAAACCCTAAAACTACACACAGAAGAAACTCAACCGTGAGAGAGAGAGAGAGAGAGATGCTATATGTATTCAAGGGTAACCACAGATCAAACGGCTACCATTGTAACAAAGGAAGGGTCTAGATCAAAGGTATCCATAAAAGGCCAAAGTCGTGTTACTAAAATGAGATTTGGTAATGGGTTATTAGGGCCCAAAAATAATAGTCCAATCGGCCCAAGTGAGAATAACCCAATAACAAAAGACTAGAGCCCAACAAATAGTGAATCACCGTGTCCAAATCCAACAATCTTTACCTTGATGAACTATTCATAGGTCATTCAAATGGCATCAAACGTTACTAGCAAGTTTCATTTACTCTAAAATACCTGAAAATAATTTAATTTGGTAAAGACTTAAAATAAAACAAAATAGTAAAAAACAAGCTTACTAATCAATTTTCTTTTACGTAATGTTCAAAATTGTTAAGCAATTCTTAAATTTATTTAAAGATAGAATTTTAGTGCCAATATCAAAAGGATTATAATTAGTTGGAATTTTTACCAGATTTATCATACCTGCTTCAACCATGTTTCTTACAAAATGGAACTTAATATCTGCATGTTTAGTTCTATTTAATGAATAATTGGGTTGTCTTAATGGTCATCTACATGATATTTCATATCGGTAACCCAAGTTCGAATCATCATGCAGATGTTTTTATAAAACTTTTTATATGAATTATTTTTTATGGTTTAGAAACTCTTCAAATTCTTAGTTAAAGACCAAACTTAACAAATTTAATGAATATACAACCCTCCATTTAATTTTTCATTAAACAGGAAGGTTACAAGAATATGATGG